CAGCCCTGGGGAAAGAAAGAGAGAGACGTGTACGTGGACATGTGTACATGCGTTGCTTGGTATGCGTTTATCTGTGGAGTCCTCTTCAAGGTCTGAGCCCAGCGATCCTTTGGGCCGGCCCACCAGTGCTCTGCGTGATGCTGGGTTGCACATAATGACGGGCAAGTCAAGGGAGGGCTTGGAGTTGACGGACCAGGAAACGCTTGGGTGCGTCGGCCAGACAATGTGGTGTCCCTGAAGTAAAGACCCAGAACACGCCCCACAATCGTAATCTGTACGTGTAGCGCGGGACAGGGCCTCTGTTACCAGTGAAGCTACTTGTAATGCCATATGCGGAACGAAGCAATCTGGAGGCTTTCCGGCGTGCAACCGGGCTGAGTGATCCGGTTCGACATTCAAGTACGAAAGATCGAACGAAAATAGCGAAGGCAAGGAGGCCGATTTTGTCAGAACCCGTCAGGGGCACGCAGGCCAATGTGGGCCTCGCACCTGAAACTGACTAGGCTTCCTTGCGAACATGAAGAGTTCGCTGAGACAGCTGCTAGAACCTGGCGGTTGTGAATCAATAGTGAATCGAAAAGTGAACAGTTCCTACAGTTTTTAGGCAGGCAGCTCTCCGGGGCCGTCCCCCCCCCCCCCCGTCCCCGCATGCTTTCGATGGGCTGGGCTGGCGTGGAGGGTGGGGGGGGTGTCTGGAGTGGGTGTGCAAAAGGAAAAACCAACAGAACAGAACAGCAACAAGTGAATCAGACTCAACAGATCGAGTCAAAAAGCGAATCAAAGCTGTTTCGGAAGCTATCTTCGATCATGCCCCGTCTACCAGCCTCTGAGTCTTAATGCTAGGACCTGAGTTGGGCAGAACTTGATTTGGCTTCATGGTCCAAGGAGCCTAGCAAAGGAAAGAGCTCGTTGCAGGGGCCTCGGGCGGTTGCTGGCACGTCCCCGACCATTTCAGACAGAGAGCTGCTTGCGAACGACTCCTCCTCATCAGACTTGAGTAGATGTTCTAGAAGAAGTGACAGCTCTGAGACCCCAGGACACGGTCAGCATTCTTCAACAAACAAGGCATTGCGATGTGGATGGTGGAACCGGGTTTGCGTTAAGACACTGGCTGTGTCGCAGGTGGGACTGCGACCGGATTAAAGTCACTCGATGATGACAAAAAGCAGCAGATGACCGCGATCAGGCATCGGCTCTCTCCCCATGCTGCGCTTGCTGCATGAAATTTACACTTCAACTTCTCACGCTGGCCATGGCTATGCTGTGGCCCGTTACCTCGCTGCCCTGCCACAAATGACAAGCAGAATGTGAAAGCACTCCGCATTTGTTAAGTTCTGGCTATTTCTGTTTTCAGGTGGGGGAGGGGTGTAATGGCCATGAGAGTCAGAGCTCTGCTGTGTGCACATCATGTAAACAGAGATCCATGCGAAAGTTCCGGCTTGGAGGCGGAAGCAGCTCGCATTGAAGCGACAACAGGCCGTTTGGGATTCTCGCATTGCCTTTAGTAGAAAGCCAGACGGTTCGAGCTCGGCGCTTCCATCGAAGTGACCAGGTGCCTTTTGGGCCTGGAAGTCTCACTGCAGCAGATCCTTTCTTCTGGCCGGGCCCCCTTGGTGGGGAGTCTCCTCGTGCTGCATCTGCTTCGAAAGGGTAGTGCGAGGGGGAGTTACCTCAAAAAATGCGTGGGAAGGTTCTGCCATGGTGACTTCTACCTCTACACCTTCCCTGCCAACCAGGTGCCACGCAGCCTGTTGCAAGATCCAACAGACTCGGCCTCAGCTCGCCATCAGCTCGTTTTTGGAGCCCTCCCGTTGCGACTGCTGCACTTGAGACGGTGACCTGCCGCTACGCTGACTTTGTGTCACGCAGTGGAACTCCAGTCAGGCCATCAGGTGCATCCAATGCACCTCAGCAAGTTCTCAGCGCCCCTTGTCGCAGGCGCTCCGATGCAGCCTTACCGGCAGAGGCTGAGGATGCGCCTCCAAGCAGCTGTCTGTGTCAGCCTACGGACATGACGGACCACTTGAGGAAACGCTGGGAGGCTGGGGTTTTCGTGGTGGTAATCTCAAAAAGCTGTGCCTGAATTTAAATGCCAGTGTGGGATGTGACCCAAGCTCGCCAATGATGTTGATGTCGCGGAATGTATCCCTAAGTCCTCATTACAGGCCCTCCGTGTAGAGCCAGAGCAGCTGTGGAAGCGTACCGGAAGGTTGCATCGGAACATCTGCCAGATGAACTCTTAGCATGCTGCCAGTAGACACAGGCGGCAGACATTCTCGCATGGGACGTGTCGCTAGTGACACAGGAGCACAGCACATCCGGGCATGCTCTCGGGTAACTGTTGCGAGCTCTGCTAGAACATCCGCTGCAGTTGACATGATCTTGAAAGACAGGCGGCATAAGAAGGGGAACTTCGATGGGACTTTCGGTCTGACCCAGTGTGCAGTTCCCGCCGGTGCATCTCGTTCAGCAGGTTTCCCTGCTGCCTGGATTCAGCATGATTCAGAGAAATGGCTTCGCTTCCAGTCTAGGGCAGACGAGACCATCTGCGGGCCTCAGCTGGGATACGGAGCGAGCTTCCCAGGCCGTACAGACAAGCTTCGTATTTGCAGGTGCCTGTTGTGTTCCCAGATGAACAGCGCCTTCTGCTAGGCGCAATGCCTTCCTTCAGCACGATGTTGCGTATGTGCATCTGTTTGGTGTACCTGCTTCCAGGCGATTCTGGATGGTTCCCAGGCGCTTTGGGTTTCCGCTTCGTCTTTGAGGCATCGACGGAAAGTGTGGAGTGCAGCACCCGGGCAGAGTCCACCAGTTGGTTTCTGACCCAGTCAGCGGGCACCAAGGCGCTATGTGCTTCTGGATACAATGCCACAGGCCACCTGCAGATCTGAAGAGCTATGGATCAGTGCGCACTGGCGTGTCCTAGCATTCGTGCATGGCAGCGGGAAAAGATACGACAAACATGCATGCAGGCCTCACTGGTGTACATGCAGCATGTGTGGCGACCAGACAAGACACTTGGCAGAAGATCTTTCAGTCTGAGTCAAGTGCTTTGACGACTCCAGCGAGGAAGGGTTTGAAAGCCAACCCGAAGGAAGCCAGACGCACCTCGGTTTGCAGAGGCACATTTTGAGCTTGCATCAACAGATTTCAGCTAAATAGCACCGCAGAAGTTAGCATCTGCAGCTGAGGTGAGCAAGGTGTCTACAAAGTCAGGCCGGCAAGGGCCAGGATCGGTAAAGTAGGCATGTGTGTTGGCATGTGTGTTTGGTGCACCAGGAAAGATATCCACTCCAGTGAGTCCAGCGGGGAGGAGGACGATTCCGACGCATCAGACAGCAAGGACCGTTCGGAAGTGACTCAGAACCCAAACTGGCCCAGTCCCTAACTGCGCATGGAGATGGATGTCCGTCTGTGTGTGTGGGTGTTGGTGCGCGAGAAAAATTCCCGACTCCCACCTCAAATGGCTGATGCGGGCGTGTATTGGGCTCGACATGATCTATCAGATGTAGCAGCTCTTAATGCGAATCGTTCCGGGCCTGCCTCAGGATGAAGAGCCCTTCACAGCTGCCCACCGCCGCAGGCAAAACGGCTGGGGAGGGTTCCAAGCTGACTAACGGACACGACTGGGAGCAGAAGAATGTTGAAGGTCCTTGCGCATCGCTAAGAGGGAGAAAGAGACAGAGCTTTTGTCTAAGTCGGTCGAATCCGGTCGCAGCATGCTTGCTGCTTGCAGTGGGCCTGCATGGCAGGCTGCCGTATTTCTACAAGCGGAAAAAGGGGACGAAGTGTCCCCAGAAGTCCCGCGCTTGGTCGCTCCTGCGAACATGTGGCAGACCATGCGGTCTCTGTTTTTCAGTGAATTTTAGTGTGTGTTTGTGCGTGTGTGAGTCTGACCGAAGTGAGTGCGCAACTGGCGGAGAGTTAATGCTACGGCTCTTGCAGGGAGGATGGTGAAGAAGACAAAAGTGGTTGGGAAACGGTCGCCCGTGTCTCAGACAAGCAGGGCAGCTGAGCCGTGTATAAAGCCGGGAGTTCTTGCTGCTGAAAGAGTGAGCTCCACCAAAGGACTACATGCTACCACCTCTGCCAGCCGGGTAGGCTGGGAACCGGTGCCGACAATTTCTTTGCGCTTCCTTCCTGCACCTGCCATTACTAACACGTGGATAAGCCAAACTTAATTTCTATGTGAACCCATTCGCACGGCTTGCAGGGTTGTGGCCATGACAAGAAGGTCTAAGCCCAGTGCTCGATCATTGCAGGACTTCGCGTGACACTGGCATGGATTGATGTGTGGCCTGTTGGACACGCAAGTGCAGTTTCACAAGCAGTATAGTCATCCAGCAGCGCTTCTTGTTGGTAAGTGGTCTTGCAGGCTGAGCGTCTCATCTTGAAGCCAGGCATGCTGCAGAGACTGCACCGAGTAGTCGGCGATCGCGACGAACGTGAGAGGGATGTCGAAATGCGGCGCCCTGTCGGCAGCAGACCTCGTCGTCTCCGAGCCGGTAGACTTTTTTAGTTACGTCGTTTCACCACGAGCAGCCTGTCTCCATTTGCATGCATTTACGCAGGATAGACCACTAAATTTTAACTGAATTCGCACTTGTTACACTACGTTGATCAGGTCTCCCAGTGTTTCTGTCGTCAGTTGTAGCATAGTGCAGTGCTGGCAGATGAGCACATCAGGTAATTTGTGCCGGGAAGTCAAAACTTGGCGATGTCGATTTTCGGTCAAGCCGAAGGGAGGCATGGGAGGCAAAGCCACAGTGTGCAGTCTGCCGGAGTGCTTCGCCGTCCTTCCCATCAACTGTTTCTGGAAACTGGTTCAGCTTGCACAGCGACGTAGCCTCGGGTTTGCGGAGATGGAAGAGGAATCAGAATTCTCCACCATGTGCATTGGCATGTCAGCTGCCAACTCCGTAGGAGATGCATATCTGCCCAACCCGAGCACCGCACTCCATGGAGGGGTACGGTATGACAGCTGCCGGACGCGTCACCAAGTCGGAAAACGATAGGCCTTTGCGTACCAATTTAGGCAAGCTCGGCATCATTGAATGTTTGAAGTTCCTGTGCTGGCACATGGCGCGAGAAGCGCAGTGCCGTCCAGAAGAAGAATGGAGCCGGGATCTAAGCTCGGACTCTTCATGCCGTGGCGAGAAACTAAACAGCACGAATTACGAATTGACACCTGTGCCCGTTAATTTTCGAGGAGTCGACGATGAAATACCGACAGAAAGATCAGAAAGGAGGCGCTGTTCTGCCTTGCGAATGCCACCGGAATGAAAACCATTGGCCTGCTAGCCCGGTTCGATCGGGTACAGATCCAGTAAACAAACTTCAGTCTTACTTAGTCATGGACTTCAGGGTGGTGCAACTGACGCCGTCCAGCGAGGCTGATCCTTGCCTGTTCTTGGAGTGTGCCAGTCTGGATGAGAGTCTCCATGCCATGCACTGGGAGTGCAGGCTGTTGCCCTTGTGGGCCCCTCTCGTGCGGATGGATGTGCGGATCGAGATATGGATCGGGATGACACAGAAATTGACGCGGCCCCCAGTGACGGCCAGGGTCCCGATTCCGATTGCTACAGTCGCAGCACCACAGTTGGATCTTCGTTGTGTTCAATGCCTGTGAGGCTACGTTTGTCCCAGCTGCCCATTTCCATGGTACGCCCTGCATCTGGCTCAGCCGTTCAACTCCTAGGTGTTCATCGGACATACATAGACTTTTTTAGATACGATAAGACCCATCGTCTGCTTGCCCTGCCCACAAAGTTGCTGTCGACAGCCCGTGAATGCAAGCTAAGGCGCTATCCTGGGGAGGTGTCGAGACAGCACCGCCGAGGTGCGACCAGATTAGCATTGGCGGCAGGAATCTGATTGCAGCTGTGTTAGGGCGGAGGCTTTTCGACCCATCAAGTGGCCAGCCGGGGCCTCTGCATGGTGGTACGATGAAAGTGACAGGCATTGGCCAGCTAGGCGGGTGGCACAGGAAACGTCTACCATCTCAGCACAGTTGTTGTGTTGAGCATGAGTGATTCTTGCAACAACATTGCTGGCATTTCGCAAGAGGCCCAAATTCGCAGACAAGGTGTTGAAAGGCCGATGCTTTTCATTTTCGTGCAGCAAGCTGCCCAACTGGTGCATGCTCCCGGTTTGGCTTTCCTGGTTCCAGGCATTATGGAGCAGGTCCTCTCTCGTGGCTCGGCCTTTGCAGAAAGTTTGCCACGCTTTAACGGGGGATGAACACTTTGGGTTGTACTGTTGTACTCGTGTCAAAAGAAAGGTGACGAAACTGTCAGAAAATCTCTTTGGCCAGGGAGGTGTCCCATGCTACAGGCCTGTTGTCGACGTCGTTGATACAGGCGTGGTAGCTGGTAGCTGCAGGAGTAGTAGTAGTAGTAGTCGTCGTCGTCGTAGTAGTAGTAGTAGTAGTATGTAGTAGTAGCAGTATGTAGTAGTAGTAGTAGTAGTAGTAGTAGTAGTAGTAGTAGTGCAGCTACGGGCTTGCGGCTTCCAACAGAAATCACAAACCCGGCGCGGAGTGTTGGCAGAGTCCAAGGCTCCAAGATTTGGCGCACGGGCTTCTTTTTTGACGAAGGGTCCGGCGCGGCCGAGCCGGCTTGTTTGAAGTGGGATATCTGAGGGATCTTTTGTGGAGGATTCAGGGACTAGCCAGTGCAGGACTTTTGTGGATCCAATGAATACAGGGCCTACATCATGTGGAAGTTTCTTTTGGGCCCCTGGTCTGGGTTTGTTGTGAGAGTCAAGAATTTTTAACTTGGAGCACAATCCAAAACCCACGTTGGGAGTTTCAGAGACGAGGGGATCGAGCACGCATAGTAACTGAGATTACACCGAATTTTTGAAGCACTTCTCTGGTGGAGAGCTTGCCAGCCAGGTCTTCGGGGAAGAGACCACAGTCGAACAGATTGTGCGCGGCTTGAACACTGTCAGCTGTCTAGGGGATGTGATATGATATATAGTGTGTGGTCTGTAATATGTACTGTATAACTAATTATCACAGCATTTTTACATAACAGGTAACTTTTGATTTGCAACATAAAATGTAGCTTAAGGTGTATTATATAGAACATAGAAACATAGACCGGTTAATGTATAGCATGTACCATATAGTATCCAAAGTGCTCAGGGTTTAACATTTAATGTCCATTCCAAGAGCGTAAAGACCGGGTTGAGATGAATATCGGGGCCTTAGTAAGGCGAACAAGGTTTTCGGGGTATACTTTATACTACTGAGGGTTTAGGGTCTAGGGTTTAGGGGCTAGAATCAAAACAAGGATTAACGGATTGCCGACATCCTCAAGCAGAGCACGACGCAAATTTGGGACGCTTCGGCTTCAAAGAGCGCAGACTCTCCCCTCCTATATATATATATATATACATTTACTTATATATTTATTTCTTTACCTATCTATCTACTATGTAGGTCTTCGCCGATCGTTGTACCCTGCACTCAAGTACTCAGTAACAGTGAGCGCATGCAATATATCACGTGTATTCCTGGTATAGAATGCATAACTTATAGTATACTATATATATATAACAAAATATATGTTGTATGCTTTTGTAGCGATACAACATACAACATAATGCATTTTCACATGTACACACAATAATGTATACTTCGTTCTGATCTAACCTGTATAACATAATAGAACTCTGTGGCCCCAACCGCCACAGAGCGGGAAGGGCCGAATTCACAGATGTTCTAATTTGAACCCTTGATTCGAGATAATATAACAATACATAATAAGGTTTAGGATAAGGAAGTATAGTATAGTGCAGTATGGTATTGTATTGTATTGTATTGTATTGTATAGCATATAGTACACTACATGTGTGTACATATGTAGCTATAAACAAATACATATATATATATATATACACACACACTCTCTCTCTCTATATATATATACATATGTTCAAAAAGATTCAAAAAGATTTTATACTAACTGGCATGTAACATATAGTATGTAATGTATAATTTTTATCATGCAACAATACGTATATATATATATATATACATATTTATATATATGTATGCATATATACATACGTATATATATATATACACATATGCATGCCGGTGTAGGCGTATGCATAGATGTATATGTATATGTATATGGATGTATATGTATGTATGTATGTATGTATGTATGTATGTATGTGCTTATACTGCATAATATGCAATATGCAACATTTACTTTACACTAGTTACATACTATATGATGAACGGATGTGTATATTTACAGACATACATACATATGTATGTATGCACTGTTTTGGTGTATGTGTGTGTGATGCGCGGTGTATGGCCTGTAATGTGTAATTCGATACATACACACACACGCACACATACATACAGACATCCATCCATCCATCCATCCATGCATGCATGCATGCATGCAGGCATAAGCGCTTGTATATTTATATATACATATATATACATACAGACATGTATATATATATATATATATGGTGCCCCCCCCATGGATCCA